ACTATGAAAAAGAATCCAAGCAACAGAGAAAAACTTCACAACACAAATGTAAATCAGATAAGAAGCTAATAAAATTAAGCAACACCCTCAAAATAAATGTTCTCTATCTTTGAATCCTTCAGTTTAATTTCTAAGGAATCTGTATCTATGTTGAAATCTGAAGTTTTAGCTAAATTCTATAAAAAGCATATTTTTAAAACGCAGTCTACCTTAAAAAGCAATTGTTAAAGTGTTAAGCATCTTTCCCTTTAAAGGCATGTAGGTACAATTCTTGATTTTAGCATGTAGAAGATACTTATCTTTATTTCAAAAGCCCTAATACACATCTCAAAAGAAATTTCCCCAACCTCCGGCATCTTCTTGTGCTCATTTCCCCACTTCTTTATCGAATTTGCAATGTGCAAATTCAGACTCCAAGGTATAGATTAGCAACTGCTGGCATTGCAAAACACAGGGTAAAAGTTACTTCTAATTTTTTTAGGAGGGGGGGAAAAGAAATCTTTCATAAATCAGAAAGGGTGCCTACCACCTGATATGTGTACTTTGTTTCCATCCAAGGCACACTACTAGAAAAAAGAAACTACACTAACATTGAAAGAGAAATATATAACTATGGTTAATTTCACTAGAACAAGAGAACCTACCAAGACACGGCTAAAGGGCACATTATGGGTTAAGAATCTGAGATTCCATAGCAACTAAAATTGAGAGAAAAAATTAACAAAGGGAAAAAAAGAACCCACAACAGTTATGTAACCTATGTAAGTTATTTTCTCATTTAACGACAAGGTAGTAAGTGTGACGTAGAGACAGAAATGACTTACCAGTCTTCTGAAGACGAGTATTAGAGGCATGGAGGTTCCTTGCAGCAATGAAGGATGATCCCAAAGCATTTCTGGAGACCTAGTCCAAGAATATTTTAAAAATCTGATTTTTAAGAAAGCCTTTATAAAAGTGGCAAGCTTAAATGCAGGTTTACTTTGATCACATTATCCGTGAAAAATATTAATCATATTCAAAATATTTTGCTTAAAATTAGAAGACTTAATCACATGAGAAAGTACCTTTCGATATATGTGAAAATCTACTATGCAGTTCCCCGGACACTGTAAATACTCTATTTATAAATTGAGTTGTGGAAATTCTCAGTAAGATAAACCGCTTCCTAAAACGGACATATCTCAACAGATCTCATATTTTACTTTAAAAGCAAACAAAAACTGTCAATGTTACAGTTTGATTAAAACTAAGAGGTATGGCGTATGCTTTTTTTTTTTTTTTGACTTTCTTAAACTGGAGGCAATCTGGACCCCTCCTTCAAGTCGTAATGGTGTGACTGGTCAATGTCAATTCCGAAGCTACTGTCTTCTACAGGATGTGGATGAAAGGCATTAAAAATGCTTTTTTTGCTAACAGAAATCCACGAGGCTGCCAGCGGTTATGTTAGGGCAGTAAAATGGCCACTATGTTTATTTCACCTTCCAAATTGGGATCACTTTTGAAAGAAAAAATAAGTAAATATAAAAGCGTTTACATAAGACTTAAGAAGTATGTTCTTAACTTGAAGGGACATAGGTAAAGAAGGGCATTGACCTTTACTGGTACTCTCTGACCTATGTTCTTTTTGACTTGAGTTCTCACTGTCTTTAATGATTCCTCAAGGACGAAATCTTAAAACATGTCCAAGTATCACAGAGCAAAGTCTTCTTTCAGCCAGACTGAGACAACTCAGGAGCCAGCTTCACCGCTGTCACGGTATGGGCCCCACGAAATGCGTATGTGACAATCGTTTCCACGGTCGCTTCAGTACGCAGGCCTGCGAGACCGCCTACTGCAGGAGGCAGAAACCGCCTGCACTTACTGCTATCCTCTACCGACCTCCGGGCAGAGGTGCAATCCCGGGCCTGCTGACCTTCGCGCAATGTCAGGCTGCCCTAGCTCACTTCGACAGGAGCTGACAACAGGGCTTTGACCTTCAGCGAGGGAGTCCCGGAGAACCCGCGGGGCCGAGCCTCGCCGTTTCGAGCAAGCCTCGGACAGCAGGCGCCCAAGCGCTGACCTTCACCCAAGGCCCCTCTCGGGCCGCCCTCAGACCAAGAAGGGAATCCTCTCGGGGCCCCATCCCTGCACAGCACCGAGGTCACTGGCTCCCCTGCATCACTCTACACCAGCCCGCACCGGGAGCGAGCAAAACGGCCCTTCCGCCGCCCGCCCTGCCCAGCGAGCAGCCAGGGGTGCAAGATGGCGGCACCCGCCACAGCCCCTCACCCTCCTTGCAGAAAGAGCTCCGGAGCCCGCCAGCCTCCCGCCGCCGCCACCGCCGCCCAGCCACCTCCCTCCCGCCGGGCCCCTGTGCTCACCAGCCCGGCCCGACGAGGGAGGGCGCGGGCCACGGCCGCGGCGACGCGCACAGACAGCATCTTTGCAGTTCCTCCTCGGGCGGTTCCCCTGCAGCCGCAGCCTCCGGACTGACTGGGACAAAATGGCCGAACAGCGAGGAAGGTCAAGGCAGCCGGCCCATCTGACCCGGAAGTACCGCCCCTCGGTTTCACCTCCGGACGCGAATCGGCATTTTTGCTAGGGGGAGGGGGTTGCTTTTTCTACGTATAGTTTTTAGATTTAAACCTCAAAATGAGTGATTAGACTTTTGCTAGCTTTGGCCGAGGCATCCGTTACATATTTATTTGGGTCTTTCGAGTCGACCTTGTGGTTGCCCGGGGTGACCACATGGTTAGCGGAACCTGGTAACAAGCAGTTCCCAGGCCGCATCCGGGGTACCAGATGATGTTGGCGTCAGCCTGTCCCTGGTGCGGTTTGCCTGACGGTGTCCGGGGGATGGTAGTGTCGGGTTCAACCCTACAGCTGTTAAAATTTGGTGCTGTAGCAACAGTAAATAGTTATCCCCCGGCCGGGTCGCACGCGGGAGGTTTCCTGCCGGCCGGCAGATCGCTGGCACACCCCAGACCCTCTGAGTCGAAAAATTGGTCAATGTGAATCTTTCACAAGCATCCACACCATTCTAGGTGATCCGGTAGCACTCAAGTTGGAGAATCGCAGCTCTTTTTCGATTAGATTCAAAAGAATCTTGTCTGAGAATTAGAGCAAATTGTTTAAAAAGTGTTAAAAGTGTTAACAGGCTCAAGGAGTTCGAGTAGTGGTTGCCAATCCTACTGAGAATGGTCCCTAATCAGTAGTCTCACTCTAGACCGGACTAGGGCTCAAGTTTTTCTCTACCAGCAACTAGTTTCATGACAGTGGGGACTCTGATTTTTGTTTGGAGTAAAATGGAAATGATGAAAATAACTTTCTATACCTACCCACTAAGATTGGGACAGGACTTTTTTCCCCCCACAGAATTTTTGTGGTACTGAGATTTTTGTGATATGTACTGAATTCTGGGGAGATGTTGGGTATTTTGTGATAGTGGAGACTAGCCTTCACTTGTAACTGTTCTGAGAAGCATCTTTCAGCTTCATCCACGAAATCCTAGTTTACACCCAAAACCTTAATTTGGGTGAACCATATCAATACCTGGTTAAAAGTGTCATCTCCTAAAACATAGCTTGCAAACCTATGGCCAACAATCCCTGTCTTTAATATTTTACTTCCTTTACAAGGTGAGCCATGGTAAAATATGACAGTCCTTCTTCTGGGAATCGGGTAGGAATAGGAAAAATTTTGGTTTGTAAAAACAGCAAAGTTACAGGGATATTTTGTAAAATGTGTAGTGATGAAAGTAGACAAAGTGTATAAAGATAACTTTTTTCCCCATACTCAAGGCCTCTACCAGCTTATCTGAAATTTGCTTACTGAGCAGAGATATATTTGACTGAAACAAAAAGAACAAGAAAGCCATACAATATAGTGTTGGCTAGTTAGTAAGATTCCTTTGAAAAGAAAGGTTTAATCATTTTCAATACGCATATGAGTTAGGAGAAAGACACTTGATGCTAAGTCTGATCCACAATTTGATATTAAACTACACATCACAGACAGTTGAGCACGTGGTCTGCCCTTCCTAACATAACACTGTACACTGCAGGAGGTTTGCAGCAGCAGTGTGATATAACCTAAGGAGACTGAAACACGCAATTGGAGCCAGAACACTGTGGTCAGGTTCCAGCTCTTCTGCCTAATCTTGGTCAAGGCATTTGATCCATGTGTGTCTGTTTTTAATATGAAAATAGCTAAAATAATATGGGTCTACCTGTTTTACAGGATTCCTGTAAGAATGAAACAAAAACAGGAAAACATATAGAAAACTATACGTTGCTGTAGAAAACAAAGAACCTCTCACCATGTTAATTACAGAGTGATGGAGAGAGGAGAGAACTCAAGGGAAGGCAAGAAATGAATGGCTGAGTGGCAGAGACAGTGCCAGTAGTTGGATGCTGTCAAGTGTTTTATTTTTTTTAATTATTTTTTTTTTCAGGAAGATTAGCCCTGAGCTAACTGCTGCCAATCCTCCTCTTTTTGCTAAGGAAGACTGGCCCTGAGCTAACATCCACGCCCATCTTCCTCTACTTTGTATATGGGACGCCTACCACAGCATAGCTTTGTCAAGTGTTTTAAAACAGTTTCCAGCACATTTAGCTCTTTGGTAGTGGAAACTAACAGATACGATTGACTGCTGCAGTGCATATTGCCGGTAAAAATTTCAAGTTAATGCTCTCAGTGTGGAAGAAATGGAAGCATCTGCGATCCAAAACACAAGTTTCAGCTATTTTTTTTTTAAGACAAGCAATTCAAGTAAGAAATAAAAATATAAGAGGGAAAAAACAGCCTGGTTCTACGCGGCTTTACTTCCCGTTTTGGAGACTATACCACGGAGGGCGGAGAGAGCCGCAAGGCGGCAACCAAGAAGAGCCTTGCAGGGCTGCAGGCTTGGACCAGCCTTGTCCAAGAGCTTAGCGGCCCAGAGTCCTAGTAAAAACTACAACTCCCAGAAGTCCCGGGCCCGTGGGGGCGGGACCAACGGTGTGTGGGCGGGGCCTTCGGAGCCAGCAGGGAGCCTGTCCCGCGAGGATCCTCTCGAGAAGCGGCGGGAGCAGCGGCTATGGAGGCGCAAGAGGAGAAAGAGGCGCAGGTGATGGGGCGGGAGCGGGGATTTGCAGCCTTCTGGAAACGTTGTCTTTGACACAGTCGCCCAGCCGCCGGATCTCTAGGGCGCGGCACGTTCACTTTTTTCCTCCCCCTACTCAGCTGTCTATCTTTAGTGCCGCTTTCACCATCTGCGAGCCGCCTTCTGCTTAGACCCTCCTGGAAGGGGCGTTTCCCGGCCTTCCCTGGCTTGGACTTGGGCTTGCAGAGGGTTTGAGGAGGCCGCTGGTACGAAGCCCCTCCCAGCAGTCTGGAGTGGGACTTCTGAACCTAAACCCATCTTCCAGCGAAGCCTCCCAGTTCACCGCTGCTTCCTCCTAGAATTATCACACCTGACCTGCTTCCGTGTCCCGCATCCCAGCTCTAGGAACCTCCCGGCACTGCGAGGCTTATGGTGTGTTGAGGACAACTCTTTTGTTTCAGACTTTGCACGTATAATAATGCTCTAGGACCTGCATATTGAGCTTTAAAATTATTCGAGTGATGCAAATTATTAACCCGTACTGCTTTTATAGCTTCGAGAAAGGATGGTTTTCTGCTAATTTTGACTTGTACCGTTGTTCATTGTGCCTGCTCGCTTTTTAAGTGTTTCCTGACATCTAATATCTCCCTAACGACAAGGTAGGATGTGAAGTTAGTAGGACTCCAGAATATTCATGGAAAGCATTTAGTTTGCTTTTGATCACTTCTTTGTCATATTTGCTTCGTGCCATTACAGTAAACAAGGCTTTTAATATTTCATGGTTAGGTTGCTGCGTGGTTGAAAAAAATATTTGGAGATCATGCCATTCCACAATATGAGGTGAATCCACGGACCACAGAGATTTTGCATCACCTTGCGGAACGCAACAGGGTCCGGGACAGGGATGTCTACCTGGTAATAGAGGACTTGAAACAGAAGGCAAGCGAATATGAATCAGAAGGTGAGATTAATTAGAGAGTTTTGAATGAGATAATAACTAGAGGCAACCATATTTTATAACACTGAAGTATATGGGATTAATTTAGTGTAGACTGCTTACTAGTTTTGCTTCTTTATTTTATCCAGATTTGTCTTCCAATCTGTTGTTATAGTAACTTAATAAATCATAAATTTCACTCTAGTATATATTTTATTGGTACGCTGATAGCAAAATAGTAAGTCCTAAAAGATAAGAGTCTAAACTTACTAGCCTTACATACAAGATGCTTGTGGCTTTTCACTTACATATCTTTTTGATGTTTCCAGTCTCCATGCATTAGTCATAATGAGCCATCAGGACACCTGAGGTGGCAGCCATGAACTGTGAGACTTGAACAAATCACTCTCTTGTTCTGTATTCACAGGATTGCCTTAGTATTTTGTGCTGTGCATATGTAGATTGAAAAGTGTTTTCAACACACCTGTTGTTTTTATAATACAAACCACAAAAATAAAGATTGATACAAACTTTTTTTTTAAAGATTGGCCCTGAGCTAACATCTATTTTTGTTTTTTCTTCTCCCCGAAGCTGCCCAGTACCTAGTTGTATTTTCTAGTTGTAGGTCATTCCAGGTCTGCTGTGTGGGACACTGCCTCAGCATGGCTTGATGAGCGATGCTAGGTCCACACCCAGGGTCCAAACCCGTAAAACCCTGGGCCACTGAAGCAGAGTGGGTGACCTTAACCACTCGGCCATGGGGCCAGTCCCTGATAAAAACCTTTTAATGGCGGGAATATACAAAAGAGAAAGGACATGAGACCTATATTTGCCCTAAATTTAACCAAGTGTATGGCATGTGTTACATACAATGTTTTGAATGTAGTATAATTTATATTTTAATTCTATTGCATATGTGCTTTTTTCCCCCCATTTTCTTGTTAAAATTAACATACAGTAAATTTGACTTTTTGTTTTGCTGTACACATGGATTCTGGGAACCACCCCCACAATCAGGATACAGAACAGTTCTATCTTACTGAAGAACCTCCCCTGGGATGCTCCTTTACACTCCTACTCTCCAATATATGTGCTTGTGAACTCGTTTTTTTTTTTTTTTTGGCTGAGAAAGATTTGCCCTGAGTTAACATCTGTTGCCAGTCTGCCTCTTTTTTTTTTAACTTGTGGAAGATTCATCCTGAGCTAACGTCTGTGCCAATCTTCCTTTGTTTGGTATGTGGGTCACCGCCACAGCATGGCTGCCAACGAGTGGTATAGGTCTGCACCCGGGAATTGAGCTGGGGCAGAGCATGCCAAACTTAACCGCTAGGCCATGGGGCTGTTTGTAATTTTAAATTCTGAGTAGTGGTACCATATAGCTCTATGGACTTGAATGACTTTTGAGCTAAAAGTTGTTTTTTAGATGCAGTTTTCATTTCTGCACAGTGCAGTTCTTTGCAGCATGAGATTGAAACATTTTGGAAATATTTTTAGAAATTGTGAAAGGTTGTAAAGTTTTGTTTGAGGACTTTTTAATCGTGGTGATGAAACTACAGGTGAAACTGTTGAAACCATTCATTCTTCATGCTGCCAGTTCTTCATTTGAGGAGGAAAATGAAAAGAAATTTCCCTGGCTAGAACCTCCAATAAAATATTGAGAAGATGTGGCCAGAGCGGACATCTTATCTTCTTCCTGATCTTAGAGGGAAAACATCCAGTCTTCACCATTAAGTATAATGTTAGCTGTGGTTTTTGTAGATGCCCTTTATCAAGTTGGGGAAGTTCCCTTCTCTTCCTAGTTTGTTGAGTGCCTTTATCATGAAAGGGTGTTGGCTTTTGTCAAATGCTTTTTCTGTGTCTATTGAGATGATCATGTCACTTTTGTTTTTTATTCTATTGCTATGATGTGTTATATTAATTGACTTTCAGATGTTGAACCAACATTTATCCTTAAGATAAATCCACATCCTCATGGTATATAATTTTTTTATAGGTTGCTGGATTCCATTTGCTAGTATTTTGTGGAGGATTTTTGCATTCATATTTATAAGTAATAGGTCTTGTGATGTCTTTGTCTTTTTGTATTAGGATAATACTGGCCTCATAGAAAGAGCTGAGAAGTGTTCCCTCCTGTCTGTTTTTTGGAAGAGTTGGTGAAGAAGTGGTATTACTTCTTTATATATTTGATAGAATTCAGTGGTAAAACCATCTAGGTCTGAGATTTTCTTTGTGGGCAGCTTTTGATTACTAATTCAATCTCTTCACTTGTTATAGGTCTATTCAGATTATCTACGCTCTTGAGTTAGTTTCCATAGCTTGTGTCCTTTTTGGAGTTTGTCCATTTCATCTAAGTTATCTAAATTGTTGAGTACAGTTGTTCATAGTATTCCTTTATAGTCTTTTTTAGTAAGTAAGTAGGTCAATAAGATGTCCTCTCTTTCATTTCTGATTCTAGTCATATGACTCTTCTCTCTTCTTAGTCAATCTAGGTGAAGGTTTTTCAATTTTGTTGATCTTTTCTAAGAACTAGTTTTTAGTTTTACTGATTTTTCTCTATTGTTTTTGCAGTTTTCAAGATTTTCTCATCTTTTACTTCAGTATTTTTACTCTGTCTGTCTGTGGATCTCTTTGCATTTATCCTACTTGGATTTGTTGAGTTAAGTTATTCCTGGGTATGTGAGTTATTGTTTTTCAATAAATATGGTAAATTTTCAGGCATTATTTCTTTGACTGGTTTTTTTCCACTTCTTTCTCTCTTCTCTCCTTCTGGTACTCCCATTGTGCATATGTTGGTGTGCCTAATAGTGTTCCACATTTCTCTGAGGCTCTCTTTTCTTTCATTGTTTTTTCTCTCTGTTCTTTAGCTTCCATAATCTCTGTTGTTCTGTTTTCAAGTTCACTTATTCTTTCTTCTGCCACTTCAAATCTATTGTCAATCCTCTCTGGTGAATTTTTCATTTCAGTTATTGTACTCTTCAACTAGAATCTCCATTGAGTTCTTTGTTTATAATTTATCTCTTTATTAATATTCTCTATTTGATGCCGCATTGTCATCTTACCTTTTGTTGATTCTTGAATCATGGTTTCCTTTAGTACTGTGAACATGTTAATTATGGCTATTTCCAAGTCTTTTCTGACAAATCCAACATCTGATTATTCTCACAGGCAGTTTCTATTGCTTGCTTTTTTTTTTTTTTTTTTTTTTTTTAATTTTTTTTTAAAGATTTTATTTTTTCCTTTTTCTCCCCAAAGCCCCCCGGTACATAGTTGTATATTCTTTGTTGTGGGTCCTTCTAGTTGTGGCATGTGGGACGCTGCCTCAGCGTGGTTTGATGAGCAGTGTCATGTCCGCGCCCAGGATTCGAACCAACGAAACACTGGGCCGCCTGCAGCGGAGTGCGCGAACTTAACCGCTCAGCCACGGGGCCAGCCCCTCTATTGCTTGCTTTTTAACGTAGGTCATGCTTTCTTGTTTTTTGCATTCCTCACATTTTTTTTGTCAGTGAATGGACATTTTAGAGTACATTTTTAGAGTACATTTTAGGTACATTTTAGCAACTCTGGGTACTAGTTCCCACAGAGCTTGTTATTGTTATTTTCTTGTTTATTTGTTTAATGACTGACTGGATTGTTTTAGTGAAGTCTGTTTACCCCCGACAGTGTTAAGCCTCTGCTGTCGCTCCCCAGGGAGTTGCATGCTTGAGTATGCCCTCAGTCACTCTGCAATGACAGTGGTTTTGGTAGGACTGGCTTCCTTTCTTTCACAGACCACACTCATCTGTAAAATCCCACTAACTGACAATTGATTACTGCTTTCAGCAATACCCTGGGGCATTAGTTGCCCTACAAGCTAATCTAATCAAATTCTGGCACTCTTAAGGGAATCGTTTCTAAGGTCAGTATTTGATATTTGTTCTGACCCAAAGATGGCTCCTCCTAGATGTCTTATTTTCTGGTCCTTTCATGCAAATTAGCTGGCCTACCATTTAACCTGTATCTTGACTCTCCTCCCAATTGCCTTTTAGTACAGCTTCCACTATTCTTGAGAGTCTCCTTAGGCTTGAACTTCTCCAGGGTCTGTTGCAAATGAAGTCAGTTCCTTTTGGAAGATATTGGGACCTATCTGTGTTATAGCTTGCTTCTTCCTCAAGGCAAAATCTCTGAGCCAGGGCTCTGGAGCTGAGGGTAGAGACAATGGCATGCTTTTCTCTGAGTGACAGCCTAGGGTAGATGCTGAGTGCTTGGTGGAGGGGAGTGCAGCCATCTTAGGTCCTCTCAGCTTGCCTTTTCTGGTTTGGAGCCACTGCCTCATGAGCTGGTGCAAGGGCCATTGGGGCACCAGTATTCTCAGTGTGCCTCACCCCAAGGTAGAGCTTCTGTTCCAAGAGCAGTGGCTGCGTGGAGGAAGAGACCCCACACCTCTTGACTACGTTCACCTAGGACTTAGTCTCAGCCACCGATAACTGGTGGCAGAATGAGAAACATTGAAGCTCTGTCCCTCCTGGAAAGAAAGCCCTCTGACAGGGAGCTGGGGGCAGAGGGAGCCCTGCCTTCTTGACTGCAGCAGTCTGGATGGAGCCTCCACCTCCCTGAGCTGGGAGGGAAGAGGAGAGAGTGATCTTGGTTAAAAACAACAGACTCACCTTCCTTACTGAATTTTCATAGATTTTCTTGAATAGATGTTTGTTCATTTGCTGTTTGTCCTTAGGACCATTTCCAGAGGCTTTAAGTGGTTGTGTTTTGGTTTGGGGTGGCTTTTTTTTTACTTTTCTGTTTCTCTTTTTGAATTTTCATCAGTTTCACTGGAGAGCAGGTCAGCAGAGCTCCTTGTGCTATTCGGCTGAAAGTCGGACTCCTGGTCACTTGATTTTTGATAGGGGTGACAAAACAACTCAATGGAGGAAGGAATAGCCTTTTCAATGATTAGTGCTGGGATAACTGGATACACACATGTATGAGAATGAAGTTGGACCCTGCCTCATATCATATATAAGAATTAACTCAAAATTGAATGGAAAACCTAAATGTAAGAGCTAACCCTAAAATTCAAAAGACAACATAGGTGTATATCTTTGTAATGTTGGATTTGGCAATGATTTCTTAGCTATGATACCAAAAACACAAGCAACAGAATTAAAAATAAATTGATAAATTTACTAATTTGTAAATTGGGCACCATCAAAATTAAAAACTTTTGTTCTCAAAGGACATTGTCAAGTAGATGAAAGAACAACCCACAGAATGGGAGAAAATATTTGCAAATTATATATCTGATAAGGGATTTGTATCTACAACATATAAAGAATTTATACAACTCAATAATAAAAAGACAATCCAATTAAAAGTGGGTAAGGGATATGAATATACAGTTCTCCCAAGAAGATAGACAAATGGCCAGTGAGCACAGCATCATTTGTCATGAGGGAAATTTGAATCAAAACCACAATTCCACTTAACACCTACAAGGAGAGCTATAATCAAAAAGACAAATATTGGGGTCAGCCTGCTGGTGTAGTAGTTAAGTTCACATGTTCTGCTTTCGCAGCCTGGGGTTCGCAGATCTGGATCCCAGATGCAGACCTACACACTGCTCATCAAGCCATGCTGTGGTAGCATCCCACAGACAAAAAATAGAGGAACACTGGCACAGATGTTAGCTCAGGGCCGATCTTCCTCACCCCTCCCAAAAAATTGTTATTTAAGTCTCGAGTTGTCATTTCATTGATCATTATTCAGTTCTGTGAATGATCACTATGCAAAAAGAAATAAAAAATAAATAGTGACAACTGTTGGTGAAGATGTGGAGAGACTGGAGCCCTCATACACTTCTGTATGAATGTAAATGCATACAGTTGCTGTGGAAAACAGTCTGGCAATTCCTCAAATGGTTAAACAAAGTTACCATATGACCAGCAATTCCACTCCTAAGTATATACCCAAGAAAAATGAAAACATATGTCTATTTAAAAACCCATACATGAATATTTATAGCAGCATTTATTCATCATAGCCAAAAAGTGGGAGTAACCCAAATGTCCGTCAATGGATGAATGGATAAATAAAATGTGGTAGAGCCATCCAATGGAATATTATTCAGCCATGAAATGGAGTGCAGTACTGACACCTGCTACAGCGTGGATGAACCTTGAAACTGTTATGCTGAGTGAAAGAAGCCAGTGACAAAGGACCACATATTATATGATTCCATTTATGTGAAATGTCTGGAATAGGCAAATGAATAGAGACAGAATTGAGATTAGTGGTCTCTAGGGTTTTATAGGTTAGGGAATTGGAAAATGATGACTAAAGAATGTGGGGTTTCTTTTTGGGGTGATGAAAATGTTCTAAAATTGATCAATACAATGGGCACACAACTCTGTGAAGGTACTGAAAGCCACTGAATTATATACTTTAGGTGTGTGGGTTGTGTGATATGTGAAAGATTTCAATAAAGCTGTTAAAAATAAAATAAAACAAACATCTTAGTCACCATCGAACTCTTATATCTTTTCAGCCAAGCATCTTCAGGACCTTCTCATGGAGAGTGTGAATTTTTCCCCTGCCAATCTGTCTGGCACTGGTTCTAGGTACCTGAATGCTTTGGTTGACAGTGCAGTGGCCCTTGAAACAAAGGACACCTCACTAGCTAGGTAATTCTTGTGACAGTTTTAACTTCCTCAATCATGTATGCTATAAGGTCTTAAACTAAGGACTGTTTGTTTCTCAAGGTAATTTTATATAGGAAATTAACAGTAAATGCAAAAACACTGAATTTAGTTGACTCCTTATCATTCTAGTGAGTATGTATAATTAAATCAGATAAACTTGGTGTTGGTAAATTTTCGTGTTTTCTTCCAGGGTGAGGTTTGGTTCTCATGTGTATTGGGGAAGGGATTAGGTCTCACTTACATTTTTCCCTATAAACAGTAAGAACAACAGCGGGCTAAGTTATTTGGTTGAGCATAGTGAACTTTGGTGCTGTCCATACTCTACTGAGTAGAGTAGGTTAAGGACCTTTATATGTGACAGGCATTTCACCTATATAATGATATTATTCTTCCAACAAGAGGAAACAAGCTCAGGAGGGATTTGTTAATAACTTCTCTGAGCTAATAAATGACAGAATTGGACTCCAAAGTCCATATGACTGTCTCTGGTGGGCTTATCTTAGCTAGATGACCACTACAACTTATAATCAGAGAACTGTAAAGCTATTCTACGTAATTGCCAATATATGGACTTGGAATGTATATAGATGCTCAGAGTAGCATTTTAGGTATAAGAACATGTAGGCTGTATGGCAGCAGAAATCTAGACTTGAATTAAGTCAATTCAGCAGATACCAAATACAGTTATATACTAGGCATATAACTATATGTAACTATATACATATAGAGGCAGTAGGGAAGCAGAGATGAAAAGATAACAACTGCCAGCAAGGACAGTCTCTGCTTCTGGTCAAATAAGGAAGATGGACATGTAAAACTACAACACAGAGTGACAGCTGCAACAGTACAAGAATGGACGAGCTGTAACTAAGTAGCACAGAGAAAGAGGTAGTGAATTACAGAATGGGAGTAAATATTATTTGAGTTTTGAAGGACAAGTGGAACTTTGCCAGTTTAAGAAGGACTTCCCGGGTAATGGGAACAGCATGTAAAAAATGTGTAGAGGTACAAAATAGCGTGGTTATAGTGGAATCCATGCAGAGATAAGATCATTGCTAGAAATGAGGAATAATTGTAATTATTGTCCTTAATGTCCATTTATGTGACCAGATTCTTTTTTTAGTTTTATCCCTGCAGTGAATGATTTGACTTCTGATCTTTTTCGTACCAAATCCAAAAATGAAGAAATCAAGCTCGAATTGGCAAAACTTGAAAAAAATCTGACTGCAACTTTAGTGTTAGAAAAATGTCTACGAGAGTAAGTAATTGAGTTGGAAGTGGTGACAATTTTTATTATAAAGGCAGTAATGGGACACTGTTGGATTTCGTTCTGGCAATAGATGTGATTTATAACAACTCATTAGGAGATGGGGTCCATAAAGTATCTTTTTAAGTTGAAAATGACTTGGGTAGAGGTAGGGGGTGGTTGGGTATAGACTTTCACCTTTTACTTCATACAATTTCTTACCTTTTTCTCTTTTTTACAAATAACTTTGGTTTTATAGTTATCAAAATGTATGTGAATTTTTTTTTTACTTTAAAGCTATGCTGCAACTTAAAGTCACATTATATTTTGTTGCCCTTTCTTACTGGAGTCCCAGTATCTCCCTTGAGGCTCTGGACCTTCCTTAGATCTCTGTTGCCCCAGAGATTAGATGCTGTGGGTCAGCAGTATGTATATGCACGAGTAATTTGGTGGTGTGTAAATTTATTCAACAAATATTGAATATGTATATGCAAGACACTGTGTCATTCACATTTAGGATAGAAGCTTTTGAGACTTCCATAATTCAGATTGGCTGTAGGATATGTTAAATCACTTTTTTGAGCAGCAGATTTACTTTCTCCAAGAATAATTGGCATAGATTAATTTTAAAATTATTTATTATTCTTTGAGAAAAATCTCAGATGGCAGCATGGAGGGGAATATGACCTGGAAGAACGCATGGTAGCTAATCTGGGATATAAAATTGATGGTAGGAAATCCAGCAAGTGTGTTACTCTTGGCTACTTCAGTGTTGAATCCAAAAAGCAATAGAGTTTCTTTTTTATAATAATTTTACTGAGGAGAATAAAATGTTTTCAACTTTACTTTTTAAAGGGATCTCAAGAAAGCAGAGTTGCATCTGTCTACGGAAAGGGCCAAAGTTGACAACCGTCTTCAGAACATGAACTTCCTAAAAGCGAAGTCAGAGGAGTTCAGATGTGGAATCAGAGCTGCCGAGGTTTGTGTGAAGGACTGAATGTATTTAGCTCTCTGCAGACTCCTTTTAGACCTTGATCCTCACAACTATGCAGTATTATTATTCCCTTTTTACAGGCAGGGGAACTACAGAGAAGACAGCTAACTTGCCCCAGGGTACATAGCTGCTTAGCGGAGGATCCAGATTCAAATGCAGGCAGCCAGGCCCCAAAGCTCAGGCTCTTCAGCGCTGCACCCATCCTGTCACAAATCTGTGACTGTTAGAAATGATTCACATGCACCAGTGAAGTGCTTAGATGCATGTATAGTTTTTCATTAAGATTTGTATCTTCTCTTTACTGTGTGTTATGTGGAAAATATTTCATGATGCTTTCAAAATAATTTTTTTAGCTGAACTCCCTTTTTTGTAATTGTAGGAGCAACTTTCAGCCAGAGGCTTGGATGCCTCTCTGTCTCATCAGTCACTAGTAGCCCTTTCAGAGGTGAGCTTATTTTAACCCAGTTTAACTTTCTTAGTGTGATGCTTTTTCACTTGATTCTTTTTTTAGAGCTTCATTCACTATTAACCTGATTTCTTTTCCTTTACGTCTGTACTTTGTGTTCACCAATATTTATTTCTTGATTACCTGTTTAGCTAGATATAGCCTCACATTCGTTTGGTTTCCTTTATTACTCTATGCTAGAAACTCTTTGCTGGAGTCAGTTATGTATTATTGATTTATTTATTAAACAGTTATTGAAGGACTATGTGTTAACCACGTGGGTCCTCCTCTTTCTTCTCTTTCAGAGTAGAGTAGAAATGCAGGCCCCAAAACTCCTGTAGAATGCAATTCTGGGTTTTTAGGTTATATAGGGTTTTATCTATTTTGGTGGGGAGAGGAAGAAATAGGGGGTTTTGTTCTGTTTTAATATTCTTAAGATCTTTTTGTATGTTGATTTTTGGAATCTGAAGTTGACAGTTCATAAATATGTATTTGAGACTCTCTTCCTTTACATTCTGATTCCTCTTCATCGCATTATTCTATATTCCTAGAAAGCATACTTAAATCCTATTCTTAGTAAATGGGAGTATAACTTTTCCATTTTAAGCATCTTACAAGAATTGTTTCCAATGGAAATGAGTTTGTTATCCGTTTGTCTTTGAAGCTCTTTGATACATTATTTAAAATATTCTAATATTAGTGCTTTATTTTTTTTTTATTTCAGAAATGGGCAATGTTTAGTTGCGTTGTGAATATAGCTAATACTCTGTGATTCTGTTTTTTTCATTCCCAGAAATTGGCAGAACTAAAACAACAGACTATACCTTTGAAGAAAAAATTGGAGTCCTATTTAGATTTAATGCCGGTAATTATTTTTGTGAATTAAAAAAAAGTCATCTCCAACTTTCCCCAAGAGTACTAAATGACCGTGAAAATACCAGGTCCATGTTTAAGGACTTAAAGTCTGTGCTGAATTTCAGTATTATATGTACATTGGATATACTTTATGTAAGGGTTTTTGCCTTTGGAAAACAATTGTTGTGTTTTTTCCCCCTTGAGTCCTTGTTGAGACAATATAACCTTTCTTTTTTAATTTTTCTTTAAAAGAATCCATCTCTTGCTCAGGTGAAAATTGAAGAAGCAAAGCGAGAATTAGTAAGTAGTTCCATTTTTTTCCTTCAAATTTTTTTAAAAGAAATAAAATAGGGGCCAGCCCGGTGGTGCAGCACTTAAGTTCACACGTTCCACTTCAGTGGCCCAGGGTTCGTCGGTTTGGATCCCAGCTGCGGACATGGCATTGCTTGGCAAGCCATGCTGTGGTAGGCGTCCCACATATAAAGTGGAGGAAGATGGGCACGGATGTTAGCTCGGGGCCAGGCTTCCTCAGCAAAAAAAAAAGAGGAAGATTGGCAGCAGATGTTAGCTCAGGGCTAATCTTCCTAAAAAATAAAAAAAATTAAAAAAAAATAAAATAAATGCTGATATAGCTAAAGCTCCCTTCATCCTTCTTGTTTCCTTCCTCAGAGGTAAATCATAGTCCCAAAGTTGCTGTGTATCCTTCCTGTGCATCTTTTAATACTTTTTTGGCATATGTGTATATTTTTTTCCCATAAAAAGTACATAGTAGTCTTTTAAAATTTTGCATAGATTTTCCTGGGTGGAAAAGAGGGGTTGAGAGACAGGATGTTCTAGGCAAAAGGAATTAACAAAGGCATAAGAGCTGAAAAGAAATGGAGGACTTTTCCAAGCTTTGGCAAGTGATACAGTCCAGCTGCTTAGGAGTAACAGTGGAAGATGGGGCCGAAGAAGGTCAATTGGTTTATGATAGTTGAACTTGGAGGCTGTAGGGGATGACTGAAAGTTGCTGTGTGTTTCCTTCTTTTTTAAACTAAAGGGAAATGTGATCAAAGGTATGCTTTTTAATCAGGCCAGTTCTTTAGGAAGATTATTCTGGAATCAGTGTATAGAGTAGATTGGAAGAGGGAGAAAGAAAGTTGCAGACACCAACTGGCCTATTTAGGCTAGGTGCAAAGTATTGAGAACAGTGGCAATGAGAAAGGAAAAGAGCTGATGTGAGAGACATTGCGAAAGGAGAAGAGGTCAGAAAAAATCTGTTTATGTGTCATTACACTGATTCATCTCTCTAAAGGGTTTTCTTACCCCTTTAGTTGTTTATTAGAATCAGGAGTCTGAAAACTTTTAGGGTGTGGGAAGTAGGGGGGAGATGTAAAAGCAAGGGGATGTCTAAAAGCATGTTTAGTATTCATTCATAATGGTATTTTTAAAGATTTCTGATTGAATGTTTTTCTTTTTTGGTTCCCTTATTTTAAATAACATTAGAAGTTAGAACATCTGTTTTCTGTCCTTATTTAAAGTATTTATGGTGTTTCTTTTTTCCTTTAGGATATCATTGAAGCTGAACTTACAAAGAAAGTAGACATGATGGAACTCTGACCAGAGACAAATAAACTTCGTCTTCCCTAACGAAGTAAATCGAATAGGACTTTAAAGAATTGTTTCCTGTTGGCATTCCTTAATAACTTAATTTTTGTGTTCTTAGATGAGTTAATGTCGTTATTGATAGAATAGTGGTTCCTGTGTATTGCATTTTTGTGTCCTGATCGTTTTCATATTAAAAAATGTTGTTGGTTTTCCATGTTGCTGGCAGTTAAGTGTCCTTCAGTAGTTCTCTTAGGTGGACATAATGACAGTTGTCATGCAGTTGCTTAGGTCAGCTGAGTGACCTGCATCTCCAGTTACGTTTCTCCCACCCTTCCCTCTCCAGCGGTTTGCTGTCGTTCTTTCTGATCAGCTCACCTGCCTACCTCCAAATGTTAATATATGCAGGAATTTAGTTTACGAAAAAGATGACCTTTTAGATCAATAGTAGGGAGATGGCTAATTCAACACATGGTGCTAGATCCATACTTCACAGCTTATGTCAAGATAATTCCAAAAGATCAAAGATTTAAATATTAAAAAAAAGATAGTAAAAGAAGTCTTGGAGGAGTTTTAATGTTTGGATTTTTACATAATCTTAGAGTCGGAAACATATAACTAAAATCCAGGAGCCATAAATTAAATGATTAAAATATTTGAAAATTTTAAAATACTAAAAATTCCTGCATGGCAAAATCTTTCATAAGTCAAATCAAAGGACATGACAAATGTGCTGTAGGGAAGAAGAAAGAGAGATTTTTCACTTTGCACCTTTCTGTACTTTTAAAAATTCTGTAGCATATGTTTAAGAAAGCAATCAGGTTTTTAAAAAATTATTTTGTTGAGGTCACGTTGGTTTATAACGTTGTGTAAATTTCAGGTGTACCTTGTTATATTCCAGCTTCTGTACAGACTGTATCATATTCATCACCAAAAGTCTAGTTTCCATTCGTCACCATACATATGTACCCCTCTACCCTTTTTGCCCTCCCCCACCTCCTTCCCCTCTGGTAACCACCAGTCTGTTCTCTCTATCTGTGCATTTGTTTGTTTGTTTATCTTCCACATATGAGTGAAATCGTATGGTATTTGTCTTTCTCTGTCTGACTTATTTCACTTAGCATAATACCCGCAAGGTCCATCCCTGTTGTTGCAAATGGGACAATTTTGTCTTTTTTTATGACTGAGTCGTACTGCTTTGTATATATATACCATATCTTCTTTATCCATTCATCTGTTGATGGGCACTTAGATTGAAGAAGCAACCAGGTTTTTATAAGATTATCTAAAAGACCTTAGAAATGTCCCTCCTCTCCTTTCCCATAAATATAATACAAAATACAGAAGACACTCGTATTTCCTTTTTTGGAAGCTGTCTATATCCTTTAGCCATATAGGTATTGTGGTTTGGTCTTTTTCTTAATAATTTATAGGAGCTCCTTATGTATTAGCTAAGTTAATCTTTTGTGATTTGAGTTGTAACTATTTCTCCAAGTTTGTCATTTGTCTTTTGATTTAATTGCAGCACTTTTGGTAAGGCAGCTTGGTAGATGGATTGTGGAAATGACCCCAATAATTTCTCCCATCCCTGTGTGCTCACCCTTTATATTGTGACTTTAGCACTTCTCTCATCAAGAGGCAGAGTCGGTATCTCCACCTCTGGTATCTGGCTTGGCCCTGTGATTTGTTTTGACCATTGAGACAACAGCAAATGTCAGAAAAGCAAAGGATTAAAAACTGCTTGTGCTTTGGCACTTGCCCTCTTACTGCTCTGGAATTCTAAGACCACCATGTAAATAAAACCAGACTACTGGAGGGTAAAAAAGTACATGGAGCCGAGATGAGTAATTCCAGCTGAGTTCTGCCCCCATGCCAAGATCATACAGGCTGCAAACTGTCAGATAGGTGAACAAGGCCCTCTTGGACTGTCCAGCCCCAATCGAACCACCAGCAGACCACAGAGATCAACCAAGCTGGCTCAGGCCAGAAGCCCACAGAGTCAACCCATAGAATCATGAGAAATGATAAATGATTGTTGTTTGAAGCTTATTTTAAGCTTTGGACCATTTGTTAGCTGTAGTAGCTAACTGATAAAAGTAGTTTTGGGGGCCAGCGTGTGGCACAGCAGTTAAGTTTGCACCTTCTGGGTCAGCAGCCCGGGGTTCGCTGGTTCAGATCCTGGGTGCGGACATGGCACCACTTGTCAAGCCATGCTGTGGCAGGCATCCCACATATAAAGTAGAGGAAGATGGGCATGGATGTTAGCTCAGGGCCAGTCTTCCTCAGTAAAAAGAGGAGAATTGGTGGCAGCTGTTAGCTCAGGGCTAATCTTCCTCAAAAAAAAAAGTAGCTTTTGAAATTAATGTTCAAAGGAAAAGGAGAGCAAAAAATGTACAATATAAGAATCAGAAGAGAAATGTGGGACCAGCATAATTTTATAAAACAATAATTATATTAAATGTGAGTGAGAAAATGTTTTAGTTAAAAAACAAAGATTGAAAATAGGTTTTTTTAAAAACCTCTGAGTATATACTGTACATGAGAGAAATATCTTAAAAATAAGGATAAATGGATCCACAATCATGGTAGGTAGATTACATACTTCTCTCAGTAATTGATAGGCAGAAAAAAAATCAGCAAGGTTACAGAATATTTAAACAACAGAATTAACAAACTTGATCTAATGGACATATAAAGAATTCTATACCAAACTGCCACAGATACACGTTCTTTGCAAGTGCATCCAGAACATTTACAAAAATTGTCCAAATAGTGGGCAGTAAAAGAAATCTCAACTACTACAAAAAGACTGAAATCATACACAGCGTGTTCTCTCACCACAGTGCAATTTGGTAAAACTAAATAATTGAAAAATGGTATGTTTAGAATTTAAGAAATGCATTCTAAATAATTTGTGAGTCAAAGAAATTATAAATTAGAAAATATTTAGAGCTGAACGGTAATGAAAATTCGATGTATCAAAACTTGTGGATTTCTACTTTGGGCCATGATGGAGTAAGACTGATCCATTTGACTCTCTTGCTTTAAATAGCTAGAAAAACAAACAAAAAAATAGGAAACTACAGTCTTCAGATATTGAAAACAAAGAAGCAGAGGACATTCATCCATGCAAGAAGAGAAAGAAACAAGGTGAGCCCTATGATTGTCCCAGCTTACTGCCTGGAGAGAGTTTCTAGTCTGTAGCTCAGGGAGAGAGAAGTCCAACAGCCTGAAGGTCTTGCCTTGTTGAGGAGAGAGAGATGAGAATTTGAGGAATCCAAAGTAAAATTTGGGAGACAAAATAATAGAGAGCCCTGGAGATCTGCAGAGGTATTTCCTCAAGTCTTTGGCTGAACTACTGATTTTCATATACAGATGAGGAGACCACCTGAAGCCAGTGAAAGAACCACTGGAAAGGAGCAGACTGAAAAAATTGGAACACGCAAAAGGCTGGAAATAGTTCATGTTCCTGTGAGCCAGAGTGGAACCACTTCCTCCTACACAGAATGTTGAGGAGCATCTTCAGAAGAGTGTTTGTCTTAGTAGGGATGCCAGCTTAGCTCTAAAGTCATGCTAACATGAAGGCAACCATGGACTATACATAACAAATGAGTGTGGCTGCGTTGTAATAAAACTTTACTTATGAAAACAGCGAGCCAGATTTGGCCCACCAGCAGTAGTAGTTTGCCAACTCCTGCCCTACAATAGCTACAAAACTAAAACAGAGGTATAGCTAATAAGCCAATGGTGGAGATAAAATGGAATCATAAAAAATGCTCAGTCCAAAAGAAAGCAGGAAAAAAGAACTAAGGAGATGAGACAAATAGAAAACAAATAAGATGGTAGAATTAAACACAACCATATCAGTCACATTAAATGCAAATAGTTTAAACATTCAAATTAAAAGGCAGAGACTCAGTTTGAATAAGAAAATCAAAACTCAGTCAAATGCTGTCTACAAGCAACCCACTTTAAAGATACAGACAGGTTAAAAGTAAAATCATGGGAAAAGTATACAATGTAAACTAATCAAAATTTTGCAGTAATATCAAAATAGATGTCAGAACAGGATTACCAGCATAAAGATGGACATTTCTTATTTTTTTCTTCTTCTTCTCACCAAACCCCCTCCCCCCGCCCCGTACATAGTTGTATGTTCTAGTTGTGAGTAAGATGGACATTTCTTAATGATAAGATTTCCAAGACCATACAATGGAAAAAGAATAGTCTTTAACAAATGTTGCAGGGACAGCTGGATAGCCACGTGCAAAAGAGTAAAGTTGGACCCTTACCTCACACTATATATAGAAGTTCAGTCAAAATGAATCAAAGCCCTCAATATAAGAACAAAAGTTAGAAAACTCTTAGAAAAAAAGAGAGACGAATCTTTATGAACTTGGACTTGGCAAAGAATTCTTAGATCTGATGCCAAAAGCATAAGCAACAAAAGGAAAAATAGGTAAATTGGACTTCATGAAAATTAAAAACTTTTGTGTTTCAAAGGACAACATTAAGAGAGTAAATAGACAGTTCACAGGATGGGGGAAAGTATTTGCAAATCATGTATCTGAAAAGGGACTTGCATCCAGAATCTATAAAAATTCTTAGAACTCAATCATAAACGGCAAACAATCCTATTGAAAATATAGATAAGGGATTTGAATAGACATTTCTCCAATGAAGATATACAAATGCCCAATAAGCACATGAAAAGATACTTGACATCATTAGTTATCAGGGAAATGAAAATCAAAACCACCATGAGATACTACATCCAACCCACTAAAATGGCTAGAATAAAAGAGATATTAACAAGTGTTGGTGAGGATATGGACAAATCAGAACCCTCACACACTAATGGCAGAAATGTGAAATAGTGCGGTTGCTTTGGAAAACAGTTTGGCAGAATCTCATATAGTTAAACATAAAGGTAATGTAATGTATGACCTAGCAATTCAACTCCAAGCTATATACTCCAGAGAAATGAAAACAGATATCCACGCAAAAACTTGCACATTTGCAGCATCATTATTCATAATGCAAATGTCCATCAGCTGATGAATAGATAAACAAAATAGTATATGCATACAAGGGAATATTATTCAGCCACAAAAAGGAATAAAGTACTGATACATGCTCCAACATGGGTGAAACTTGAAGTCATTATACTAAGTGGAAGAAGCCAGTGACAAAAGAGCACATATTATAGGATTTAATCATTCATATGAAATGTCCAGAAACATATATTGATAGAAAAAAAATTGATGCTTGCTTAAGGCTGCGGGGATGATAGCAAAAGGGTACAGAGTTCTTTATGAGGTAATGGTTGCACATGCATGTGAATCTATTGAAAACCATTGAATTATACACTTTAAATGGGTGAATTGTATGGTATGTGAGTTATATCTCAATAAAGCTGTTGAAGAAAAGGTGTGCAGATTAACAAGGAAGAAGTAGAACTGTGTTTATTCTCACATGAAGTTAGTGAAGAGAACGTCCATCCCAGGAAGTTAGGAAAAGAAGAACAAAATAACCCAAAGAAACTAGCAGGAAGAAATAATAAAAATAAGAGCAAAAGTTGATGAAACAGAAAACAAATACAATGGAGAGGATCAACAAAGTCAAAA